GGAGACACCCGGGACAACTAACTCCAAGTGACCAAAGGGATGTTCTGTAGCGTATGATGTTTTGTTGGTAACAATTAGCATGAGGGGAGAAAGTGATGCGCATTTGTTATTAAGGTATTTGTCTTTTAGAGAAATCACCATATATTCTGGGGCCAAACTTTCCAAGAAGTGGCTGTGCCTCACACGCTGATGGGAAATAGAAAATAGCTTTCCTTTGTTTTTGAGCATAGCCTTTGCTTTTGCTCATTAAACTGCTTTTACCTAAACCCATGTTTTCTGTCTTATTTTCTTTCCCTGTAGTGCTGTGGAGAGAGTGATAAAGCAACTTCGTGAGCACCTGGTGGCCAGCCAAGTCCAACCTCCAGATCAGGCATATTCTGATTTATGAGTCCTGCTCCACATAGTGAGTAAAGTAACGTCCCGGCCCAGCATAAAAACAGGTTTCATCTTTTACTAGCATCACAACTCAATGCCTGAACACCCTGGAGTGAAGAGCAAGAACTAGCCAAGCCTAGTTTAAGTCTGATATCAGAAATATCTCGCATATAACTTACAGGCATCTTTGAAAAGCCCTCAGAATTCTGAATAACTCATGAGTAAAGTGTGTGGCAATTAATAATACAGGTTTACCATCCAGAAACTGGTTAGCTACTGAACAGTATCTGAATTACACTATGACTGGAGCAACCTTATTAAAATGCTTGCTGAAAACACATGCTTGCTATGGCACAATCCCTGACCAGTTATCAGTTTGCTAATCTGGCTGACAGTCACCAAAGGAAACCAAATACAAACAAGTTCTAGACAAACTTTTTTCTGCTGCGTGTAACAGTAAATTACAAGACAATCATAGAGTCATAGAATAGTTAGGGTTGGAAGAGACCTTAAATGATCATTAGTTCAGACCCCTTCTTCCATATGCAGGGACACCTTCCACTAGACCAAGCTGCTCTAAGCCCCATTCAACCAGGCCTTGAGCACTGCCAGGGATGGGGCAGCCACAGCTTCTCTGGGCAAGCTGTGTCAGTGTCTCACCACCTTCACAGTAAAGAACTTCTTCCTAATATCTAAATTCAACCCCAGTTCTTTAGAAATTGTGTTCCAGTGCCTCCCCATCCTCACAGTAAAGAACTTCTTCCTTTTATCTAGCCCTATCTTCCAAATTAAGTTTGCACCCATCAGCCGTTGTCCTATTCCTGTAATCCCTGATGAAGAGCCCATCTCTGGTACCCTTATAGGATCCCTTTAGACACTGTAAAGCTGCTATGAGGACTCCAAGCAGCCTTCTCCATGTTGAAAAGCCTCAACTTTTCCAGGCTATCTTCAGTGCTCCATCCCCTTATTATCCTCATGGCCCCCCTCTGGGCTTGCTCCAGCAGCTGCATGTCCTTCTTATCCTGGTGTCATTGTTTAATTCAGAATGAAACAGCTGCTCACTCACTTCGCCCCCCACCCATTTCTTCCTCCACAGCTCCCAGAGGGATGGGGAGGAGAATCACAAGAATGCAGCTCCCACGGGCTGATATAAGAGTCCAGCAACTCAGGTATAATGCAAAACCACTACTGCTACCACCAGTAATAATAAGGGAAATAACAAGGGAATGTGGCTAAATAGGGAGTTGCTGGGTATGCTCAAGTGGAAGAGGAGAGTTTACAGGTCATGGAAGGAGGGGCTGGCCACTTGGGAGGAATATAAGGCTGCTGCTAGAGGATGTAGGAAGGCAGCTAGGAGGACTAAGGCCTCCTTAGAATTAAACCTGGCGAGAAGGGTCAAGGACAGCAAAAAGAGCTTTTTCAAATACATGGCAGACAAAACTAACACCAGAGGCAATGTAGGCCCACTGATGAACGGGATGGGTGCCCTGGTGACAGAAGATACAGAGATGGCAGAGTTACTGAATGCCTTCTTTGTCTCTGTCTACTCTGCTGCAGACAGTCCTGAAGAGCCCTGTACCCCTGAGACCTTAGTCAGGTCAACGGAGCGGCTTGCCTTAGTCGATGAGGAATGGGTTAGAGACCAGTTGAGCAATCTGGACATCCATAAATCCATGGGTCCAGATGGGATGCACCCGCGGGTGCTGAGGGAACTGGCGGAAGTCATTGCTAGACCACTCTCCATCATCTTTACCAAGTCTTGGGAAACGGGAGAGGTGCCTGAGGACTGGAGGAAAGCAAATGTCACTCCAGTCTTCAAAAAGGGCAAGAAGGAGGACCCGAGTAACTATAGACCGGTCAGCCTCACCTCCATCCCTGGGAAAGTGATGGAACACCTTATCCTTGGTGCCATCTTAAGGCATATCAAGGATAAGAGGGTTATGAGGGGCACTCAACATGGCTTCACCAGGGGGAAATCATGTTTGACCAATCTCTTAGCCTTTTATGAGGAAATAACACGGTGGATGGATGATGGCAGAGCTGTGGATGTGGTCTACCTTGACTTCAGCAAAGCATTTGACACAGTCTCCCACAGCATCCTCACAGCTAAATTGAGGAAGTGTGGACTGGATGATCAGGTAGTGAGGTGGACTGCGAACTGGCTGAAGGAGAGAAGCCAGAGAGTTTTAGTCTATGGGGCTGAGTCTAGTTGGAGCCCTGTAACTAGTGGAGTGCCTCAAGGGTCAGTACTGGGACCGGTATTATTTAATATATTCATCAACGATTTAGATGAGGGAATTGAGTGTACTATCAGCAAGTTTGCTGATGACACTAAGCTGGGAGGAGTGGCTGACACGCCAGAAGGCTGTGCTGCCATCCAGCGAGACCTGGACAGGCTGGAGAGTTGGGCAGGGAATAACTTGATGAAATGTAACAAGGGAAAGTGTAGAGTCCTGCATCTGGGCAGAACAACCCCAGGTTCCAGTATAGGTTGGGGAACGACCTGTTAGAGAGCAGTGTAGGGGAGAGGGACCTGGGGGTCCTAGTGGACGACAGGATGACCATGAGCCAACACTGTGCCCTTGTGGCCAAGAAGGCCAATGGCATCCTGGGCTGTATTAGAAGGGGGACGGTTAGTAGGTCGAGAGAGGTCCTCCTTCCCCTCTACTCTGCCCTGGTGAGACCGCATCTGGAATATTGTGTCCAGTTCTGGGCCCCTCAGTTCAAGAAGGACAGGGAGCTGCTGGAGAGAGTCCAGCACAGGGCAACAAAGATGATTAAGGGAGTGGAGCATCTCCCTTATGAGGAAAGACTGAGGGAGCTGGGTCTCTATAGTTTGGAGAAGAGGAGACTGAGGGGTGACCTTACAAGTGTCTATAAGTATATAAAGGGGGAGTGTCACGAGGATGGAGCCAGGCTCTACTCGGTGGCAAACAATGATAGGACAAGGGGTAATGGGTACAAACTGAAACACAAGAGGTTCCACTTAAACTTGAGGAGAAACTTCTTCTCAGTGAGGGTGACGGAACACTGGAACAGGCTGCCCAGGGAGGTTGTGGAGTCTCCTTCCCTGGAGACATTCAAAACCCGCCTGGACACATTCCTGTGTAACATTATCTAGGTGTTCCTGCTCCGGCAGGGGGATTGAACTAGATGATCTTTCGAGGTCCCTTCCAATCTCTAGCATACTGTGATACTGTGTGATACTGTGGAAGAGAATACAACTGCTCACTACCTGCTGACTGATACCCACCCTGACCCAAGCAGAGATCTAGCCCTTCCGGGTAACTTCCCACAATTTATACAGTGGGTATGACGTGCTGTAGTATGGAATACCTCTTCGGTTAGTTTGGGTCAGGTGTCCTGTCTCTGCTTCCTCCCGGCCTCTCCTCCTCCTTGGCAGAGCATTAGACTTACAAAGTCCTTGGTCACAGTCAACATTATTTACCAACAACTAAAAACATTGGTGTTATCAGTGTTCCCGGTCTAAAAGTCAAAACCACAGCACTGCAGCAGCTACTAAGTAAGAGAAAAATGACTGCTACTGCTGAGCCCAGGACAGCTGGGGACACCAGAAGTGCACATGGTGATACTCGGATAGACTCCACAACTTGTTAAAGTTGTAAAGTATGTATGCTTCATTGAGTGCTGAGGCGCATGGGGGATCACTCCTCCAAAAGCATGCGCACCTTTCCTTTGCCACTCAGTTTGTTAATATTACATAAACATAAGATTGCTTCACATCTAATACATATGCAAAACCTATTACCGTCTAGTATTATAATTAGTTTTCTGGCATTCATCCCATTGATGGACTTGGGCAGTGCCTCCTAGTGGTGGTCGTTAGTGGGTCGTGAGGATGAAGGCCCGTATTTCCTCTTCATCACGATGAGTAATCTCTTGCTTTCATACAGACTGAACAGGGTTTTGGCTCCTATCCAAACCTCACGTTTGGTACAAGCCGGTTTTATGTATCTTATAGCAGAAACTTGTTAAGCTTGTAAATTTTGTTTTCTTTTTTTCTTTTTTTTTTCTACGGATACTATTTAAACAAGAATTTCTTAAACGTTCATCACACAAGTTATGAATCTTATCTACTACAGCCTAGCACCTGTAACGCCTACAATTCTGCTTCACAATTCTAGCAACTTTAACTCATACGGTTCTGCTTCAGCAAGCACATTGACTACTTAAGCGGGCAGGCATATTATTAACCCTTTTTTTTTCCCAGGTATCAACGGTACTTCTCAGTATCAGCCACATGGCACAGCCCTACAGGCAGCACCACTTTCTGCTATACATGTAATGGATCTCCATACACAGCATTCCTGTCTTCAGCACATCACTCTGCTGGAACACTAGCTTCTGATGCCCAGGCTGTGGTCCCACCAACTGTACACAGCTCTGGGTTCTCAGACACCGCAGAGACCTTGAATGCCACCTGCCACATCCATGATGGCTGCAACTGATGTCATCCCCCACACACCTTCATAGTTCGGTTCTGACAACGGTGACACACCCCCACACATAAACCCTCCTTCCTGCTGCGGAAGCCCAGCGTTCTGGAAGGCTACAACAGCCGGTCCGCCCCTAAGCACGCCGCGCTCAACATGGGTGGCCTCGTAATGACGGTCACTGCTGTGGCCGCTGGGCATGAACAGGTAAAGGCGTCTCCACGGCGCAGGGCTGCCGCGCTTCCCTCCTCGCCAGGGGGCAGTTCTTTTCCGCAGGCCCGCTGGGTGACGGCTGCTGAGGAATTCTTTTTACGAGGTGTAGGTAATAAACTTTAAAAAGAAACCTGTAGGAGGAAGTGCAGGTTTGTGTGGCTGGCCTCAAAATGTAACCTGTAACCCAAACAGTTTGATTAGCTAGTGATGCGCGGATTGACTCCACAACTCGTTAAAGTTGTAAAGTATTCAGCGCTGAGACGCACGGGGATAATTCCTCAAAGTCATGCGTACTTCAGTGTTGTTTCCTTCTACATTTATTCTCTAAAGTTATATATATTCATAAGATTGCACAATATGCCTATACATATTCATGTCCTATCCCCGCTTCATATTATAATGAGTTAGAAGGTCCTTTGCACCTGCGCAGTGCCCCCTCTGGTCATGGGCAGGGGTCTCAAGATGAAGTAGCTGAGTCTTCCTCCTGTGGGTAGGGGTCTTCAAGATGAAGTAAATGAGTCTTCCTCTTCTTGAACTTTTCACCTTTTAGTCTTCACGTATGGCCTTAGGGTTTGGTCGGTGTCCCAGCCATAAACCATCTGCATCTCCCCCTTCAGGCGTCTGCTTTTCCTTATCAATAGCTGCTTATCAGTAGAATCAGTCTGCTTTTCCTTGTCAATAGAACCAGGTGTCTGCTTTTCCTTATCAATGGTTAGTGCCTTTGTTCTGTTTAGTAGGCGTGATAGGTACATTTTGTTTAAGCAAGCGGATTCCTCTAACCCCCTTGTACAACCCCCCTGTACAACCCCCCTGTACATTGGTTAACCCTGTATCACTAGCAGTTAAATTTGTTCAGGGTTGCTGTGAATCAGAGTTGCAGTTTGCAAGTGTTATTAAGCAGATTTCATAAGCTTGTATTTTTGTTGAACAAGACGGAATGTGGGCAATCTTCCTAGTGTTGATTACTTGTTTATAGTCAGGTAGGTAGTTCTTCCGACTTGCCAGAGACTGGCTGCTGGGAGAGGCAAGGCAGTTGCAGTGTGGTGAGCAGCTTCTGTTAATGCAAGCTGATGTTACATTCTTTTTCATTTTTTTCATTTATTCATCAGAATACATTTTTTATGTACAGTCATCAGCTCACTGTCATCACCCTAGTTTTATACCTGTGTGACTTAAAATTAGTTGAATTGCACCAGTATAAAACCAAAGTAATGCTGTTACTCTACACTGTGGTGTTGTCTGCTTAAAAATAACTTATAATAATTTAAATAATACTGGTTTTGAATAATACTGTATTTTGTTATGTACAGAATGACAGCTATTCCAGTACTACAGGTACTGGTCAAAAATATCAGAACTGGAAGATCAAAGCTGAACAAGCTAAGAAGAGACTCCAGCATCAATTAAAATACGTGAAACCTACACCTGAATGTAAGTCACTATGAAAGATCTAAAAACATTCTATCTACAGACAGGCTCCTTTCACAGTTGCTTGTGATTCCCCTGCAGACTTGGAATACTCCTGAAGTCTATCTGCTTTTCCAGGAGTCTCGGAAGGGAAGAATGTAGAAATGCATTTCTGTGTGGAAACAGAGAAACTTCCTCTCTCTCAGAAGTGGTGTGGGTTTGCTTCCTCAGGTTGTTGAAAGCCAGGTATTTTCTACGTCTAACTTTGCCTTATGTAAAGTTAGTATTCTACTGCTGTTTAGATACAGCTCCCTTTCAGTTGGTAAAATGTCACAGAGCAAGGGTGTACAGAAAACTAATTTCTAGCCATCCACATGGATTGAAGTGTAAATTGGAATATTCTGTGGGAAATACTGAAAGAACTTGTTCAGTTTGGATGTTCTGAAACCTTTTCAAAATAGGCACATTCCCCTATGATATTCTGCTACCTCATGTGGAACTCCTGTTGAAGTTCTGCTAGCTGAGGGCTTTGTGATGTTGGATATAATGCATCTCATTTCATCTGTGGAGTGTCTATTCTATAAAAAAAAAATGCATTATCTTCTTCAGCTGTCAGCAAATTACCAAGAACTAACACAGCATGAGAGCTGAACTAGGGATTTTCAGATGACACAACAGTACTGATTTAGTTTATTTTTTTTTTAAAGTCAGGTTAGTTAAACTGTGTGTTCAATATGTGTTCATAGAAATGTTATGCTGGTTTAAAACAGATTCTAAAACACTTTTTCTACCATTTCTGCCATAGATCTCTAGGCAGCTGTCTTGCTGTTTTTCTCCATATTGAGACTACAGTATGCTGACTTAACAGGATAAAGAAGTCTTACTTTGATGGGTCTTTGTCAGCTTTGTAGAAGTAGGTTAAAAAGGATTGCTGCATCCTGGCGTAAACCAAAGATATGAGCAGTCACTTAACTGCATTGTTATAAAAATAAACAAAAGTGGAAACTTTAGAATAAGGCTGTCCTATTCTCTTAAATCAGTTGAAGATTACTCAGAAAGAGACTTACTTAAAGGACATATGCATTTATTCTGGCTTTGCATCCAGTGACCTAAATCACTGTGAAATCACATCTTTTGTATAAATGAGAGTCTTTTAAGGCTATATGAGATGAAAATGCATGCTATTTTGTACACTGAATCAAATGTCAAAGAAGCCTCTGCAAACGCCTGCATTTTTGGATAGTGCTGAATTACTGGTAAATACTTAAATATTAGCCTCTTTTCCTTATTAGTTGTTGACAAGCTCAAAGAGATGATGGAAGAAGTTGGAAATGAATCAATGCTTTTAAAGAGGAACAGACATACTTTTATGGCAGTGGACCAGCAAGCTAGGTGCCAGCCCCAAAGCAGTAAGTGATCCTATCTGAAACTGCATTTCTTGTTACATCTGTCCCAAAGAATGTCTGTCCCCCTGTATAGGCAATATACCTATGCCATACTGACATAGAGAATTAGCATTCTTCTGACACAGAGAATTACAATTCTTTCAAGAGCTACCCACCTGAGTAATAAATGATACGCTAACATAAAAATGGTATTATAAAATAGAATGTGGACTTGTTAACTTGAAGGGAGAAAAAAAATGTATGTTTGCTTAAAAAAAAGCATAATACACCAACATTCATAACTACCCAAAGATGAATGCCATAATTTAAATGATTTTAGCAGGAATATGTTAAATAACCCTGTGTCTATAATAAATAAAAAAAGGGAGAAAGCAGATATAGTTGCTTCTTTGTCCTAGGTTTTACCACTAGTAGACTTTTAATTCCTATCTGTATGCTACTTTGTATCCTTGGAGCATGTTTTTATAAGACCAACAGGAATGTGTACAGTTTTCATGAACATCTTACCCTCTCCCTTTCCCTCTCCCCTGTTGTTCTCCCGCAGTCAATTAAGAGGTGGAAAGAAAAGAAGCAGCAAGAAAAGCCAAGGAAACTTGAAGGAGAAAAAGAAATCAGAAAGCATGCTTAAGGAAGAATCACAACAGCGTGAAGAAGCTCAAAAGCAAAAAGCAGCAGAAGAAAGAAAAAGACAACAAGCAGCAATAGAAGCATGGAAGGAGCAGAAAGCAATAGGTAATGGAACAAGCTTTGCAACTAAAACTAGAAAAAAAAGAAGGAAAAAAGCAACAAAAATAATGCCAATGCCACATGAAGTTAGTGTTGGAAAAGTATACCTTGCTGAAGAAAGAAAAGGAGGAACTTAAGAAGTTTGAAAAGGAGAAGAGAGAGGAGGCAGGAAAGGAGGAAAGGAAGAGAATTGCTGCAGAAGAAATTAAGTTTCAACAGAGTGTGCGTAACTACATCCCCATTATACATGTTTTAAACTCACCTACTTCCTCCTACAGTATAATCTGTCAAACACAAGTTTCATTTATTTAAATCTATTTGTGATTCACTATGAAGAATAGCATCTGCTGCATACAAGAAGCAGTATGAAACTTTATTTTATACAAAAGTGTTCCTTTTCCTCACTATTTTAAATTCTACAGGATTATTCAAGTCCATATTTCTTTCTGCATAAAGAAATGGTTTTATTTACTTCACTATGAAAATGTTTGGGAAAACCAGCTTGGGCTGTGTTGCTCTCCATGCTATAGAAAATGTCAGAAGACCTGATTATTGTATGTAGATATGAAATCAAAAGTCCTGTTTGAATATCCTGAAGGTTTCAGTAGCTGTAAGGGCATGATAGATCTCATTTTAATGTGAATCTGATTATTGGAGGACTGATAGCATTGTCACCATTCCCACTGGACTTAATTTTTGCAGAGATTAAACTACTATTTTTTTTTCAGAACTACATAACTATAATTTCTTTGTGCAGGACAAGCTGTAGCAAGTAGCTACACAGTGTATTTTCATTCTGTTCTGTGACAAAATAATTTCAAGACAACAAGAAACTATAACTGAAAAGGCTACATACGTATTTCATACAACTTGTTTTACTTCCAAAGAAATGTTTGGTTTTCTATTTGTTTTACGTTTCGGGATCTACAGAAACTGAAGCTAAGGATTATACAAAAACAAGCTAAAGAAGAGGAAAAACAAGAAAAAGAAAAAAGGCTGGCAAACAAGACAGAATGTAACCTCTTTTTTATTTTAATCTGACGTGTGCAGTTTAGCTGTTTAAGCAATCATTTTCCTCACTGAGACAAAAATAATTATTTTTCCTTATCAAAATGGTTGATAAATGCAAAAAAAAAAAAAAAAAGTCATGCTTGTTCCCAAGAAACAAAATTGCAGCAGGCATAGCTATCCTTTAAAAAAACAGGGGGGAGTGGGGGCGGGGAAGGGGCAATGGAGAATTTACTAATTTGTCCCCCAGCTGTATTTATTCTGGGTAAAGCCTACAGCTCATACAAATGGGCTGCAATATGGGTTTCAATGGTTTTCAATGACTAGTTAAATAAGTAGACTGGCTTCCAGAAGAGTTTTGGGAACACTGAGTTCTTGGAGTTTATCCTTTTAAATCACTAAAGTTAATGACAGCAAGCAGTTGTTGCCCCTCTTACTGATTTTGTATTCATGATGTTTCCTGTGAAGTTGTGAAGGGAAAAAACATCTCTTCTGCCTGGCCACCTGGCTTTGGTTTACTCTGTACTTTTTATCAGAGAATCACAGAATAAACTAGGTTGGAAAAGACCTTTTAAGATCATCAAGTCCAACCAGGCCTGCCAAGACCACTACTAAACCATGTCACTGAGGGCCTCATCTACACAGTTTTTTTAATACTTCCAGGGACAGTGATTCCACCGCTGTCCTGGGCAGCATGTTCCAATGCCTGATCACCCTTTTGGTGAAGAAAGTTTTCCTAATATCCAGTCTAAACCACCCCTGGCACAGCTTGAGGCCATTACCTCTTGTTCTACCATTTGTTACTTGGGAGAAGAGACCTACCCCCACTTCACTACAGCCTCCTTTCAGGTAGTTGAAGAAAGGGACAAGCCCCCCCCTGAGCCTTCTCCAGAGTTCCTCAGTTCCCTCAGATGTTAGTCATCAGACTTGTGCTCCAGATCCTTCACCAGCTTTGTTGCCCTTCTCTGGACCTGCTCCAGCACCTCAATGCCTCTCTTGTAGTGAGGGTCTGTTGTGCTTTAAGCCCAGCTGGGAACTCAGAACCATGAAGCCACTTGCTCACTCTCCTCCCTTTTTCCCCACCCCCCACTCCCCGAGGGATGGTGTGGAGAATCAAAAGAATGTAAACCCCATGGGTCGAGATAAGAACAGTCAAGTAACAAAGGTACCATACAAAATTACTAGTGCTACCACCACCAGTAATAATAATGATAAGCAAAATAACAAGGGGAGAGAATATAAAACTAAAAGGGGAAAGGAAAATAAAAAACACAAATGACACACAATACAATTGCTCACCACCTGCTGATCAATACCCAGCCCAACCTGAGCAGCAATCTGGGCCTTCTGGGTAACTCCCCCCAGTTTATATACTGGGCATGATGGGCTGTGGTATAGAATACCCCTTTGGCTAGTTTGTGTCAGGTGCCCTGATGCTGCTCCCTCCCGGCTTCTTGTGCCCCCCACTGGCAGAGCATGAGAGACTGAAAAGTTCTTGAACAGGGTAAACATTCCTCTAGCAACAACTGAAAACATCGATCTATTATCATCATTGCTCTCAGGCTAAATTTGAAAACACAGCACTTGCAGCAGCTACTAAGGATGAGGAAAATGACTGGTAGAGCTGAACCAAGGCCAGGGGCCCAGAACTGAGCACAGTATTCGAAGTGCAGCCTTGATGAGGACCTAATAAGGGTTTGTAACTCATTCTGTGATCAATGGAAAGCTCGATTTGTTTGTTTCATTCGGAGGTTGAGGTTCATGTTAACAAAGACCTGTACAGACTTACCAAGGGGTTGGAGGAACGCACAAAAGAGGTCACACTACCAGTCTCAAAACCAATTCTACATATTTCTTGCAGGTAAGGAGGAGAATGATGGATTCGTAGCATGATGAAATATAATTATAAATGACCTCTGACCTCTTTTTTTTTTTTTTTTTTTAATAGCTGTCCCAGCCTGGAGATAGGGGCTACAGATGAGCCTGTCGAAGGATGAGGGTGACTTTCAGCAGTGGAGCGGCCGGCAGCCCTTGGGAGCTGTCACAGAGCTTAACTGACCTAATGACACGTGCTGCCTTTGTATTGTGTGAGCTCGGGTGTGAAACACCTAACACAGCCGGATGCCACGCGCTTCCATCACCGCGAAACACGCGTCTCCCGCGGGCTGTGACGTAGCCCCGGAAGGGGCGGGTGTCGCCGCGCGTGACGCAGCACTAGCGCGCCGGTCAGGATCGGTCACAAGATGGCGGCGACGGCGGCGGCGGCGCCTTGGTCGGGAGAGGCGGAGCGGCTGGACTTCCTGCGGGAGCGCCATGTGCGCTTTTTCCAGCGCTGCCTGCAGATCCTGCCCGAGCGGTACTGCTCCCTCGAGACCAGCAGGTAGCGGGACGGTATCCTGCGCCTCTGGGAACGGGTGGGGGCCGGAGACCTGGCGTGACGTTCGGGCAGCACGGTCGAAGGGCGGGGCTTTTGCCGTTCGCCAGCTTTACCTGTTCCCCGTACAACCGTTTTTCTCTGGCGGGTGGTCGCGCTGACAGAAAACCTGTCCTGGAGAGGCTGCCGCAGCTGGAGCAGGAAGCAACAGCAGGAGCACGCTGTGGCGGCCCTGTGATCGGTCGCGTCCCGCTGTGGCCGGAAAGGAAGCGCTGCCTGTAGGATCTGCCCACCATCGCACGGCTCCCCAAAATACGAGTGGATGTAGGGGCTTCGTTTGTGCGCGCTTAAATTCCCCGTTATCCACGAGGAAAGACTTTTTGATCCTTTTAATGTGTTTAAGGTCTGTGCTTCAGTCTTGAAAGCCGATTTTAAAATTAGTGACTTAAACCTTTTGTTGATCGAAGTCAGAGTACATACTGTTATTTTTTATTTTTTTTTCAGTGTAGCAGAATTAATTTAAATCTTCATTAGCTAGTAGGAGAGTTAAAGTACTAGAGAAGTATGTATCTCCTTTGGAATTTGATGGACAGTTTTAATGGCTTCAGGATCCACTTACTTAAAATTCCTAGTCTTTACATAGCATAGTTATATCTGAGGCACAAGAGAATCAATATTTTGATTGTCAAGGTGCACTTGATAAAAACTTGGAGACGTGTAGAGGGTTTGATATTCAGCCAGTAAAATCACCAGGTGCTTTCCACTTTCTAATGTTTTGCAAGTCACACTGTGAAAAATGCCGTTGATCAAGTCTTCATGCTGAATCAAGCTTTATTTCAGTTGAGAGTACAAACACTTGGTAAAAACGTGTAAGAACTACTATGGATAATGCTGAACTGTGTGGAATAACCCTTTATATACAAAAGGGAATTCTGAAATATTTATTTCAGAGATGTAAGCCATTAAGAATTAACTGATGTTTCAGCATACTTTGCCAGTTATTTTAAATGACAGCACAAGGAGGTCTAGGCATGTTGTACTCTTAACTCTAAGTATTACAGTTAACAATAACATGCATTTATACTAGAATCATAACGCAGAGGGCTAACCTTGGCCACACTGTCATGCAGAGAAAGGCTAAAGAAGTGTTCTGCCTTAAAGAGGGAAGATCTGATCACAGCCTTCCATTACCAAGAAAACTAGTAACAGAAAAGGTAGGAGTGCCCTGGTTACAAGGGACCATGGTGGTGGGTGTCCTGGGCTATGGGAACAAATTGCTTCAGGGCAAATTGTTTAAATGTAGGAAAGATGTTCTTTGCTGTTGCACAGTGAAGTGATGGAGTCTTCCTTGAAGACCTGGCTTGTCAGGGTCCTGTATCTTCTCATGTACAGCCCTATGCTCTGCAGGAGGTGGGACTGGTGATCTCCTGGATGTTTCTGTTTTGTTCTGTGATTTAGATTGCCAGGCTGTCAGTTTGCTAGTGAACTGAAGCAGAGGCCCTGGTTTACATGGGGTCTTTCCCATTCTTTTTAAATAATGCTAATTATAATGCCAATTGTTTTGAAAATTCTTGAGCAAACAAGGAGTTGCCTGAGCTTAAGCTTAATGTGTGCTCATAGTGACCGCAGTGCATTAAATAACCAGTGCCCCATGTATTGTACACAACGGTTGAGCAGCTCTGCAAAAAAACACCGTTTTCTGAAAACTGAAACTGTCAATTTGCATCTCTTTCGGGATGGCTTAATTTTGGGGTAACAAGCACAGCTTAGCCCTTCAATTAGGATAAAAATGGCAGTCATCTAAACTTACGCATTTTTTTGAGTTTTTACTCAGCCAGAGGTTTTCTAGTTCTCTCACACTGATTTTTAGATCAGTGTTCTGCAGATATGCATACATATCTGTTAAGAAATTCTAAGCAGGGGATTGAACCACAAATGCGTCATCCCCAGTTTGACCTTGAGGGTACTAAGGCTTTTTTTTTTTTTGACAAGTACAAGGTCAGTGGGTTCAGAAAGCCGCCTGAGCTGGCACTGCTGCAGAAAGAAATGCTGTTACCATTTTATTCTTACTTCTCTTGTTCCTGCACTTTGTGGTGAAGTAAATGGGGAAACTCAAGTAAATTAAAGAGAGAATTCTTAAAAAAAGATGTCAGTGAGTTGGTTTTAGTTCACTGCACTGCAGCAGAAGTGGCTGCATTTGTGGACACCAGGCAGTGTAGTAGAGCATGAAATTTTCCACACAGTGCTGGTCCGTTCTGAGTTAATCTGTAGTTTGTCAAACAATAAAAGAGTAAGTACAGCGATAAAAGGAATTCAGTACTACCTTTTTTACTCAACATACTGGCTTAAAGCCTTTATAATTATTTCTGTTGCTACTGCATGCAGCATCAGCAACAGTAGTTTTTAAGTAATCTTAATCCATGCCTGAAGATGAAGAGCACTGAACCTGTCATCAGAAACATCTTTACTTGCTTGTCTTGGACAGGAACTTAAGACAAATGATACCTGTTTTGTAAGCTTTCTGTAAGTTGGTTCAATAAATTTCAGCTGCCAAGCTGTGATCCTTGTCTTCCTGAATTAATACACATGTAGTAACTAAAGTGGTACGAGGTTTGAAGAAAAGTAACAGCAAAAGTGATGCCAGACTTGGGGGCTGTCTTATAAAGGGTGGCCCTCTATGGAAATAGCTGTATACAAAACTTTTATGCTTCATGATATGTTGTCAGCTAAGGTGCTGCTAAGAGTTTCTTTTTTAGGCTTAGAACATGTAGCTGTTAATTTTCGGTGAGGGACTAAGGATGCAGTAGCTAGGTGGCTGCATCAGGCTCTACGTCCAGTGGTGCCAGATGTTCTTGGCTATTATATGTAAATTCCAGCGCACTATGTGGGCTGTTCTTTAGTCATGCTGGTGCTGTTAACACAGAGGATCAACTCTCAATAAGTAAACTGAAACTTAACTATATGTAAACCCACTTTTTACGTTTTATCTGATCCATGTTCTGATCCATCCCCAGCATCCCTGGGGGTTCATTAGGGACCGTAGTGATAGGACAAGCGGTAACGGGTTAAAACTTAAACAGGGGAATTTTAGATTGGATATAAGGAAGAAATTCTTTAAGGGTGGTGAGGTACAGGGAAGTTGTGAATGCTCCATCCCTGGCAGTGTTCAGGGCCGGGTTGGACAGAGCCTTGGGTGATAATGGTCTAGCGTGAGGTGTCCCTGCCCATGGCAAAGGGGTTGGAATTAGGTGAGCTTAAGGTCCTTTCCAACCCTGACTATTCTATATTTCTATTCTATGTATTTTTAAGAATAGATGACAGTTATTCTCTGTCTTGTATGTACAGCCTTGTGGGTTTGTACCTAGTTTGCTGCAGTTTCTACTGCTGAAGTTGACATGTTATTTGTGCCTCACTGGAAGTAGCATAGCTGGGTAACACAGTGTGAAAAAGTCTCTAAGTAGCTTTCAGTACAACATTGTCTAACATGCTGTTTGTGAAAATCAGAAAATACATGCGAGGTTTCCAAGAAATAATTTACTGTAGTTGAAGAGTAGCTTTCTTGTTTTGTTTTTTTTTATAAAAGTAGTGGTTTTGCTTGAAAAAATTGGGTTATTATCCAGAATCAGATTTTGGGTTACAAAGACTTGATAAACAACAAAAGTTGATACAAGCATTGAAGTGTTAATTTTTGCACTTCGAAGGGCAGGTTTTTAGTCATCAGGTGGCTTAAAAGATACTCTTGTTCCACCTTTGTGTAAACCATACATTTTTAGCTTTCAATACTCGAAACTTTATTTGTAATAATAATAATAGGAAAAAGACATGTTTTAGAACCCAATGATATAGAGCAAGTTTACACTTTCTGCCATGAATACTTTTACTGGTGGAGGTGTACGCTGTTCCATGTTGGGTTTTGGGGTTTGTAGTTTTAATTTTTTGCGAGGATCTTAGAGTTCCATGGAGGGATTTTTTTTTGAAGAAGGAATGTGGATCTGCTTGAGCAAGTTCAGAGGAGACCATGAAGATGATCAGAGGGCTAAAGCACCTCCCCTATAGAAACAGGCTGAGAGAGCTGGGCTTGTTCAGCTTGGAGAAGAGCAGGCTCAGGGGAGACCTTAGAGGAGCTTCCAGTGCCTAAAGGGGGACTAAAGAAGTCTGGAGAGGGACTTTATGCAAGGGCCTGTAGGGACAGGACAAAGGGGAATGGCCTAAGCTGACAGAGGGGAAGTTTAGATTAGATACTAGGAAGAAACTCTTTACTGTGAGGGTGCTGAGGTGCTGGCACAAGTTGTCCAGAGAACCCGTGGCTGCCCCATTCCTGGCAGTGTTCAAGGCCAGGTTGGATGGGGCTTAGAGCAAGCTGGTCTAGTGGAAGACGTTCTTGCTGGTGGCAGAGGGATTAGAACTGGATGATAAGGTCCATTCCAACTGTAGTTGTTCTGTGATTTTGTGTTAATGTCAGTGTTCAATATCCAGGCAGGTTACAGTTTAATACCTTTTGTTTGCAAGAATGGTATGA